ATACTGCTGTCAGTTACCATCTAGAATTACAGCTCTAATCATGTCTGCACTCTTTTCAAAAGCCTTACATGGTTCCCAACTATTTATAGAATAAAAGCTCAGATTTTTAACATGGCATTCAAGGTCAATCATTATCTCACCCCAAGATCTATTTTCAATTCTAATTTTCACTATGACCCCCATCTCACCTCCACTACTGAGGTTCCTGGAAAAACCAAAGGTTTCTTTAGACTACAACATATTTCTCCTCATCACAGTCTGTCAATATTTATTAATTTTCCAAGGCTTCCTTTAATGCTGCTTTTTGCGTTCCCTTTCACATATTCCTTCCTCTACACAGCACCACAGCACCTTGTTTATGCCTCTATTAAGCTTTTATTACACTGTCTTATATTTGTACATTAATCTTTCTCATAAATTCCTGTCTTATTATTTATTACATAGAGACACACATCTATGGACACAAGATGTACATGCTGAATGAATTCTGTCTAGGGTATGAAGAAACAGTGTGAGAGAAAGCAGGTCTCTTACAGAGGCTTCCTGAACTCTGATCCTATCTTCAGCAACATTAATATTCCTTCATCTTAAGGGGAGAAGATATGATTTGCAGATACTATGAACTTGAGATTTGAACTAAGAACTTCTGTAAAGTGGTTTTGCTGTTACTCTCTTCTCTTCCAAGAGCTAACTTTTCTTTCTGTAATTTTTTTTACCTTTTCCTTGTACCTTCACTGTTTTTACCATGAATAAGTCAATATTTGTTTTACTTGCAAATGACTGATAATGATTTTCTATTCGGCTTTGCAGCTTTGAATCTCATTGCACAAACAAGACACAAAATAAATATTTAAGGAAGGAACAAGCAAAAAATATATAAAGTTGCAATGGGAAAATGTTTTCAATTATCGTAGTTTGAAAATTCTTTAAAAGAAAAATTTGTCAAAAATACAGTCAAAGTATTTTTAATTCTAATTTACCTAATAAAAGAGTAGCCAAAGTTAAGTATTACATTCTCTCCATTATTTTATCCACAGAGTAAGCATACAGCAGTGGACAGAATTCTCAAATATAACAGCACTCCTGACTCCCATAGCAAACAACACACAGAAAAGTGACTACATGCATATTCAATACATAGTAATAATGGTCACCAAAACTATAACACATATAATCCCAGAATTATAAGATTGAAGGAATTAAATTTTTTTTCTTGACATTATATACAATTAAGAAGGTTAAACTACAATAAATTCAAAACATCAACTCATCTAAACAAAATCCTGGTCAATGTATAAAGTACTAACTCCCCAGTCCTCATTCTCAAGCAAATCTAAAGGACATGAGTAAAGAAAGAACAAACAATACTAAATTCCCTATATGAATGCCTTCACAGAAGTTAAAAGGTTTATGAGAGAAAAATCCTGTTTTTTTCTTGTGCATGTATTCATACACCTGCTTTCAGGATTTATTGTGTTATCAGCATCCACTGTGTTATTTAGTGCCTCTTTTATAACGGATCACAAAATTCATTTGCCCAAGAGATTGAAACTAGAAAAATCTTTACCCGTCTAGAAAAACTGGTATGTGTCATGTGATTCACTATTGTCTATATGTGCTATTTTTCGCTTTACTGTCAAGCAAATTCAGAGCTAAGTTTTGTATGAGGGCTATTACTTTCTTTAACCTGGGTTTTCTGAAATTTTCTTTCATTACATCCCAAACCATCATCACTTGACATGCACTCTTGCAAGTGTTTTATTATATACATCTTCAAATCCTTCCTGGAAATGGTTTAAGTATAAACAATAAAATGGTAAATAAGAATTAGCAAATAAGAAAATATTGTCTGGAAAAAAGTTTTATATGCATACCTTTGAAGATATCTTCTTTTCCCTGGAGTGTTTTGGATTTGACACGGAAGACATTAAAATTCTACTGATTTCAAGTCCAGTTTGAAGCTACAATATTAAAGAAAAAACTTACAAAATTGATTTGTAACTTGCTACTTTATGAGAGATCAAGTCTTAGTTTATAAATATAAAAGTGCTTTTTTAAAATCCAAAATACTATTCTGTGTGTTTAAGTTACTAAGTATATTAGTAATTAGAATAAATCTGTTTATAAGACAATGATTTTATATATATATATATAACTAAAAAAAATCAATCCTTAGAGTTATTTCAATTGAGAATATATGTATTTGTCAGAATTTCCAAAGAATTAAAAGACTTCTTGGCAGTGCATCCACGTATATGAATATATCACTGATTGAGAATTCCAGTATTATAGCAAGAAGAAACAAACCTAACAATGTAGGGAGCAGAAATAAGAATCTAGGACACAGGTTTTAGTTAATGAAAATAGAGTATAATTAAATGCATATAGTTCTCTGTGACAGATTAGTCTCTACCTCAGAAGCTTTGTCTTGAAACAGCTTACGCTGATGTTCTTCTTCCCTGAGTTTTTCCTCTAAATGTTTAATCTTGTCCTGCAGAAAGAATCAAAAACTGGGATTGTTATATAAAAACTAGAGCCAAATATCCTTTTTTCCTTTCCAAATAGAATTCTAGTGGTCTTGATTCTTAAGAGTCTGGCAAGCTAAAGCTGAAAGTAAGACAAAGGAATGGTAAAAGATGCTAAGGCTTTTCTTGGCTTTCTTCCTCCTTCATTCTTTTACTGGACACATACAAGGAGAACAAAGAGAAAGCAAAATATGTATGCACACACAGGCTTAATAACTTCCAACAGCAAAAGTATAATGATGAAACTTTTGAGGACTCTAGTCTAGAAGGTCAAACAATTACAGTCGTGGGTCTCAATGTTTCTTTCAAAACACATAAAAATAACAATAAATTTCTATCATGTACATATGATAAGGGTACAATTTGAAGGGCAAGAAGGAGGAAGATTTTTTTTTT